GGGAGGCGGAGCTTGCAGTGAGCCGAGAAGGAGCCACTGCACCCAGTCTGGGCAACAGAGTGAGACTCTGTCTCAAAAAAAAAAAAAAAAAAAAAGCTTGTAATTGACTTTCAACAAATCGATACTGAGCATTAACGGTTTCCAACTTGGATTTGTAATTCCTCATCATTCCTTGTATGACAACTTTTTGAAAATAAGTCACTAGTAAAATTAAACACTCCAAACATCTTTCTGTTACAAGTTTTCAGCAGTACTTCTATGCAACTTTAACTCTCACTGCTCTCTATGGTTGATGTCAAATGACCTTCAGTAATGACTGAGAATTGAATACAAATAGATTACAAAGTCAAAATTTGATGTTGTATCACTTTGGAAATTTTAATTATGTTTTCAGTTCAAGTACTTAGTAGCTTACGTTTGCTTGGCCTCTGAGTTTTTATGGAAAATAGGCTTTGTAGTGGCAGTGTGGAGCAAAGGAGACTGTTAACACCTTAAGTAACTTTTTTTACTGATGAAAATAATTTGAGGACAGGAGGGAAGTAGTGAAAGCTATGACCTAAAAAACTGGGACGAAATAGAGGCTCACAGATACTTGGATTATTTTATGTGCTTATTATTAAATAAGGAAAGCATTTTGTGATACATGGAAGACGCTATGTGAAGTTTTACCTATCTTCTAAAAGACCTTTTCTTTCGTATTTTCTTTTGGTGTTTATTAAAGCCGAACTAAGAAGGAAATGTTCTTAGGGACACAGGGTGGGTTTTTCTGTGGGCCTTTGTTGGTTTTTCTGTGGGCCATCACCCTCTAATGGAATTGATCTCTGGCTGTTTGTTTTTTTTCATATTGTATTTTTAAAATTTGTTGTACGGTGCCCTGTGAGCACCAAGTACCACTAGATGAATAAAACGTATTATATCTAAAGTCTTAGTAGACCAATTTTTAATCTTAGTTGACTCTGTATTGTTATCACACTGCACTCTGTTGTGGTTGTGCCATTTTTGCAATATTGAGCTCTTTCGGTTGTTTTCAAAATAAGGGAACTTAATGTTGAAAAACCAGAGAACTTTTTCTTAATAAGAAACTAAAAATGTTGCAGCCACATAGGTTCAGTTTGGCTCTTTGGTTTCCAGTGGCTTTCAAATCCCCTAAGGTTAAAAGAAAACACTACAGCTACCCTGGGGTTTCTCAGCCTTGGCATTATTGACATCTTGAATCAGTCATTATTGTGGGAGTGCTGTCCTGTGCCTTGCAGAATGTTGAGCAGTGTTCCTGACCTCTACCTGTGAGATGCTAGCAGCACACCCTCATCTCAGTGTTAAACCAAAAATGCCTCCAGACATTGTCTCATGTCCCTTGGAGGGCAAAGTCTTCCTAGGGTGAGAACCACTGAGCTAGCCTTAGACCATTGTTTAAGCAGAACTTACATGTTTAATAAAATTAAAGCATGATATATAAAACGTTTGATTTTAGGCAGCAGTTATCTAGGAAGTAACTAGAAATACAACTTAGCAAATACTTAAATGCCTACCTTGGGCTAAAGCTCCACATAAGTCTTGGGGAAAGTAAGCAGTGAAAATGTGTAAGATGACCCCACACTGGTCCTCAGAGCATCTTGTGACAGTTGGGAGCTGGGTGGGCAGCTCGGGCAGGAGTGCTGGAGGTGGCTTGGTGCTCCACTTGGGATGCTGGTCTTCAAGCGTTGGAGTCTCACCTGTGAGCTGGCGATAGTGGGTTATATGGTATGGCTGGAAGAGGAGGGCAGGCAGGGTACAGAAACCCCTTCCTCACCTTTCAAAAAATTTGGATAGGAAGCCGTGGAAGGAATTTAATGAGACTTGATAGAGAATGTAGGTTTGCAAGGCAGTCAAGATTTGTAGGCAAGAGGGAATAAATAAAGTAAACCAGAGTAGTGAGTGTAGTCAGTGACATCTCTAGTGTTCCTGCTAGAATAAGTTTTAAAATTTATTTTGTGAATTCTAAAAAGATTTTCATAAAAGCACATGCTTGGGCCTTATGTTGGACAGTTACTTTTTTATAGCCTGGCTGATTAATGAAGTTCTGGAAGGAAATTTTAACATGTTAGCTGAGAGGCTGGTGAGGGGATTTAATCTAAATAGGTTTGTGCTAGGAAAAAACTTTTAAATAGAAGAAATTGTTCTATAACTCTGCCTAAATTTTGAAAAAAATTGAAAGACTATTACAATGAGCAACCGTATATTTTCCACTTAAATTCAACAATTAAAATCTTTGCTATTTTGCTTTTATATGTTTATTTTATTTATTTATTTATTTATTTTTTTTGAGACGGAGTGCTCTGTCGCCCAGGCTGGAGTGCTGTGGCCGGATCTCAGCTCACTGCAAGCTCCGCCTCCCGGGTTTACGCCATTCTCCTGCCTCAGCCTCCCGAGTAGCTGGGACTACAGGCGCTCGCCACCTCGCCCGGCTAGTTTTTTGTATTTTTTAGTAGAGATGGGGCCAGGATGGTCTCGATCTCCTGACCTCGTGATCCGCCCATCTCGGCCTCCCAAAGTGCTGGGATTACAGGCTTGAGCCACCATGCCCGGCCATATTTTAAATAGTGAATTTCTTGAGTGTTGCTGAAGAGAAGTTTGGACTAGATAAAACAGAGGAGGAGGCTAATGAGCTAAACAAAGTGGGTGATTGCTTGAATGAATGATGAGGTGGAGAAGGGTGGAAATCAGGCACAGATGAAAGGGTTTTCCTGAAGAGGAGGAGCAACATCTTTTCTGAGTCCATAAGGAAAAAGATATCGTGGGCTATAGGCATGAAAGTTCATCTATGGCATGTCAGAATTTCAAAACAGTTTTCTTGGTGCTTTAGAAACAAGTGGACACAGGAAAATGAGACTTGTGTAAAAAATTCATGCAAAAAGAAACTGGTAAAGTTTAACACTCAGACACTCTGGTGTCTATAGTATGTATAATGTGTAATGTATAAACTGATGCTTTGCATAGTTTTGGTCACAGAAGCAGAATATAATTTATACATTTGGGAAGAAAATCACTTAGCAACAAGATGATCACCAAGGAAGAACTGTTCACATGCCACATATCTAGGTCATTGTTACTCAAGTGTGGCCTGGAGATTGGTATCAATGTCACATGGGGATTTTAGAAACACATGCTAGTAAGCTCCATCCGGAACCTGAATAAGAAGCTGCATTTTGGGGCTGGGCTTGGTGGCTTCGCCTGTAATCCCAGCACTTTGAGAGGGTGAGGCGAGCAGATCACCTGACGTCGGGAGTTCAAGACCTGCCTGACCAATATGGAGAAACCACATCGCTACTAAAAATACAAAATTTGCCAGGCATGGTGGTGCATGCCTGCAATCCCAGCTACTTGGGAGGCTGAGGCTGCAGAATTGCTTGAACCCGGGAGGTGGAGGTTGTGGTGAGCCGAGATCACACCATTATGCTCCAGTCTGTGTAATGAACAAAACTCCGTCTCAAAAAACAAAAACAAACAAACAAACCTGCATTTCATGTACATTAAAATTGAGAAGCACTAGACTAGGACACCACTCCATTCTTAATGTGGCAATAACACAGTAAAAAAGGGATGGAAGTGCCTATTTGGGTGTGGAAGCAAGTGGGCCTTAGACATAGATAGCCAAGAGGTGATCAAAACAGTTCCAGGAAGGTACTTTGCTGGAACCTGGGTGAAATTAAAAGAGACGGTGCAGGGAGCCTTTTCAATTTTAATAAAATCCATTGCTTTTTCCAATAAAGCAGGTCAGCATAATGTAGTTAATAAACCTCGTAGGTTTATCTCCGTATTGCTTCTGCTGCTTACTAGTTGACTGACATTGGTTGTTGGAGAGTCTTGGACTGGAAGAGGAGAGCTCAC